CTCTCCAGCAGTAGCCAGGATTGAGAAACACTACTTTAACACATCACATTGTGAAAACATTGATGAATAAAAGAATGTTAGAATTTATTACCTTAAAAACTAAAATTAAACCCATGGCCACCTAGTCCATCATGACTCATAGAGACCCTATAGAACAGAGTAGGACATCCCTATGGTTCCAAGTCTATAAATCTTTACAGAAGCAAACTGCCTTTTTTTTTTCCCCCATAGAACATCTGGTAGGTTCTAACCACAGAACTTTTGGTTAGCAGCCAAACATTTTAGTCACTGCACCACAGAAGTTCCTTTTTATTATGTTTAGTTATTGCTTATCTGGTTTATATATTTATAAAGAATAATGTTTGCCATTGATAAATCACTGTGAGTGGTTAAGTTTAAGCTTCTATGTCATTTTAGTTGATAAATATGCTGAGAACATTTTATTTTGTGAGTCAATGATTTCTTCCTCCTGAGAAAGAAACAAATTAGATGTTAGGCTGATAGGACTTCACATTAGAACCATCCTTCATGGGATGAGTCAGGTGGAATGCTTGAGCAACATACATTCACTGGAAGCTTAGAGACTTGGTGAAGGAGTTTAGGAAGTGAGGGAGAGACATGGAAAAGAAGGGGTAACTGTCAAAGACAAATTTACATAGTTTGAATATTTTTTATAGTTGGCCATGTACTCAATGAACTGTGTTGAAACACTCTAGGAAATGGATTTTTAACTTGTTTTAAAAACAAAATAAAGCAAACAAATGAACAAACAAGCAAACAAAAAACCTACATTTGATTTTTATATTTAGGACATATCTCAACTAGTGAATAATTGTTCTGTTGACTGATACACTTTAAACCAAAACTCTAAACTCACTGCCATCAAGTTGAATCTGACACACAGTGACCTCTTCTTGGGTTCCCAAGGTGGTATCTCTATGGAAGTAGATTTCATAGTCTTCCTTCTGAGGAGTGGCTGGTGGGTCTGAATCTCCAGCTTCTTGTTAGCAGTCAAATGCCTTAGGCACTACACCACCAGAGCTCCTGATACACTTTATAGTCTGCTGAATTTAAAAACACAATTCTTCTTCATGTGTCTTTACACATTGAAGTTGATTTTCAATCTTCTATTTACAGTGTACAAGTAAATGGAAACTGTGGTGGACCAGAATCCACAAGAGATTGGATTTCATCTGGTTTGCCCTACTTTTTTGTCAAGTATTTATGACTCTGCAAAGACTGATTAGGAGCTCTGGTAGCATAGTGCCTAAGGCACTTGACTGCTAACCAGAAGGCTGGCAGTTCAAACCCACCAGCCACTCCTCAAGAAGGAAGATTGGGCAATTTACTTCCGTAGTGATACTGCCTCAGAAACCCAAGGAGGAGTCCCTATGAGTCGGGGCCAACTTGATGGCACATAACAACAACAATAATAACAAAGACTGACTAAAAAACTAAGTTTAAGACCAGGATAGAACTTCCAGTTCACCAATCACTTAATATGACATTATTATTATTATTATTAAATCAGTCCAAGAAACTTCCTTGCTAACACATTCTTTTATCTGAATCTGAGTAGGTATTTCTATGAATACTTCCCTGGAGAGGAGAGTGGAAAGTGAAATTATTTAATTGAATGTTGACTTGGCTTAGGAAAGGAGTACCATGTCGTTGCAATCTTTTTATTGGTTTTTACTATAATATTTTATATCAAGTTAAGGCTTCTCCGTGGCTACAATCAAAAACTATTCACAAAGGGAATTAATTAGAAGACTATCTGAGAGTCATAGAATCCTGAACCTCTGCTAGAGAACTTAGTTTAGAAACAGAGTTAGGCAACTCAGGAATCTGAGAAGCAAGAACCCTAACAATACCAAGAGTCATCTGGCCATGATCTTACCACTTGGATGGCATGGAATCCCACATGATTTCATTATCCTCTTCCTTCTGATAAAGATTCAAATTCTAGAGAAAGACTTGAAAAGTGTAGTTGGGGATATATACTTACCTGTTAATTAAGGGGAAGGACAGGAGGTTGGCTGCTTCAATAGGAGTGGAATCTAAATGGTAAATGGACTCTGGACAACAAAAAACAAAAGGTACCTTCTGCATGAGGGAATGAAATCTAGTTAAAGCTAGGAATGTGGAAAATCAAAGTGAGCCTTGTTTCCTGTTTTACTGATAAGGTCCGCTGGCATAGTGCCTAAGGCATTTGACTGCTAATCAGAAGGCTGGCAGTTCAAACCCACCAGCCACTCCTCAGAAGGAAGACTGAGCAATTTACTTCTATAGATATACCACCTCAGAAACCCAAGGAGGGGTCACTATGAGTCAGGTCTGACTCGACAGCACATAACAACAACAATATGCCCCAAACAGAAAAATACATATGCTGTTGTTGCTAGGTGCCACGGAGTTGGTCCTGACTCATAGCCACCCTATGTACATCAGAATGAAACACTGCGTTATCCTCACAATCATTGCTATGCTTGAGCCCATTATTGCAGCCATTCTGTCAACCCATCTCATTGAAGGCCTTCCCCTTTTTTGCTGATTCTCCACTTCACCAAGCACAATAGCCTTGTCCAGGTACTAGTCCCTTCGGACAACATGACCAAAGTAGGTGAGACAAAGTCCAGCCATTCTTGGTTCTAAGGAGCATTTTGGTTTCTCAGTAGCAGTCAAGTTGATTCCAATTCACAATGACTCCCATTGGGTTTCCAAGGCTGTAAATTTTTATGGAAGCACATTGCTTCATCTTTCTTCCACAAAGAAGATGGTTGGTTCGAACCACTGGCATTTTGGTTAGCAGCCAAGACTGAAGTTGTCAAAGATTTCACATTACTAGACCCACAATCAACATCAATGGGAACATCAGCCAAGAAATCAGATGACATATTGCACTGGGCAATCTGATGGAAAAGACCTCTTT